TCATCACTATCACTAGAAGAAAGGTAATCCATGATTTTTACAATAGTATGTCTATCCATATYGAGTTCGAACATCGAAAAACTTATAATATTAATAATTAAGATATTATGATCTATATTTTTCTTTATAAAACGTTATACCTATACCTGGTACAATAATAATTAATAATATTCGTTTATCATTTTTATTAAATATCAATGCTGCCATATCAGTACATTTCGTGATAATGATAAGGCGCACGAGCTCGTGCAACTATCACTGCACTGAGTGCAAAAAAATCGCGTAGTGCTGTAACATGGAACATAAAATTAGTAATTTAGTGCACACTGGAATAGCTGGTGAAACATAAAAAAAGGGCACTAGTGCAGCTAGTGCAGTCAGGTGGAAAACGCTATTAGTCCGTGTCAGCAGCTGCTAACTACGTGATACAGCGCGGTATCAGCACTTGCCTCCATCAACGAGTTGTACCAACCGGATTCCGCTCCGTTCTTTTGCATTGTATACATTAATTGACACACACCTGTTCACGTAAACTGCCGCGAACATTATTTTATGCTCTTTGCAATAACCGACCGAACTCGCGTACGGACCCTCCACACCCCGCCGGCTGATCGTGCCACCCTGACGTTTTCGACCTCACGCGCGCGACGCAACGGGCTCGGAGATTCGCCGACACTCCGTTTTTTCCGGTCGCCGTACATGTACTTCTCACTCTCTCTCGTATCCTTCTCAACCGTTACAACCGACGCCATATTTTCGCAACGTGAAACTTGTACGACCCCCGTCACGATATGTTGTATTTCGTTATACTTACTGTCCAGCCTACGTTTGTGATCGCCGTCGTCCTTTGTTACGCTCACGCACACCTCACGATCAATGTACACACGCATATGTTATATTGTGGTGAATTCTCACGTGTAAAATAAACGTCTCTCGACATCAATGTGTCAGCTCGTGGGAACCACAGATATATAATATAATAAGCTAGATTGCTAACTTTCCCATCTAGTCTGTATAACTTATTGAAGCCATTGGCCGCCGTTTTAATCGAGGCCTTTGTTCGTTATCGCTTATTACWCGTGCTCATAAGATAACATTAAATTATTATTTTTCTCAACTTAAATCATAATTTATAATTTAATGTTTGTCATTTTACATAATATGGTATTCATGTCGTATGCGGTCTACCGCACACTTGTCGTCTACCGCGTATGTTTCTACACGTCATATGCAGTCTATTGCCGCGTATCTATATATATTTTTTTGGTTTAAAACTTAGAATTATTTAAAAAATGCATGGTACATCACCATCATTGATGCCCTCGTACTTGGCGAAACAATGGTGGCATCTAAAAAACAAAAATGACAACACATTTGATTGTTTTTTAAGAGATGTGAAATTATATTGTACCAAATTTAAACTGATTGACAATGCATATCTCTATATAATTTTACATTTTTTGTCAGTTAGTTTTTAATACATATACTAATTAAATTTATCTACATATTATTTATATATATTT